GTGAGTTGCACATGTCCAGAATCCGACGAACTGGCAAGCCGTTATTATGGGTCCTTTGTAGACCGTACAAGCGGGGGATGTGAGTGCCTACTGGTCGGAGGCTTTCGAGGTCACGGTCACTTATGAAACCTCCCCTTAGGAGTCTTCTTAAGCAGTCAGTCAGATGTGTCTCTATTTGATCCGTGCAATTTCTTTTATTTGTCTACTTTCTTGAATTTTGTCTGATCTGAAAGGATGGTTTGCATCTTTCTTACGTAGTCCGATCTGTTCATTATAACGACATCCGTTCCTTTATTAGGTCTAGTAACTAGGATATCCTTGTCCTGTCGTAGTTGTTTTAACTTTCCCAGGTGTAATTTTGTCAACAATTTTCGGTTTGTTGGGCATTTCTTCAGATGCTTGTAACTACAGTTCACCATTGTGGATTTAAAGTGCTGGACACTTTCTGCGGAGATGAGGTTTAAATCACAAGTTTGGTTACAAAGATTTTCGAACTGGATTTCTAATTCTAACTTATCAATCTTTTGAGGAGCTATGCATAATTAAGGACCCAAGGATAATGCTTCAAGTGCTGTTTTATCAAGCGTGATAGAAGAGTAGTTGCGTACATAAGGATCTGGATCTTTGAGCCGTCTTGGTTGTGGTTTCCTCTCGTGCACCTTGCGTAGGAGCGACAATTTCTTTGCATCCCCACGTTTTTTTCTATGCTCTGCGCATAGGTGATAAATTCGTGTCTTTCTTCGTCTTTCAGCGTGTCCAGAACGGCAGTGCGTTGCCACACGTGACGCTCTAGTCCCTCCACATTTACATGAGCGCCTTCTAGTGACCCTTCCCATATAAACGTGTTGGCCTGAAGAGAGTTTATTGACAGTATACGTGTACTCGCCAAACTAGACTTCTGAATTCTCCGATGGGAATTTTCGCAACTCTAAAACAATCCAAAGAACAAAGTCGTTTGCAGATAAAAGCACGTGCTTGTTCAAACTCTTATTTAAAAGTTGGCAAGTTAATGCAAGGCATATTTAACTAAGTAAAACAAAAAGGCAGTTCAGTTTCACTGCAATACTGCCCATCCTAGGTGAACGTAGTTCAAAATAAATGTTTATAGGACAATAAGGCGAAAGTGTTAAGCATATGATACGAGTTGGTATGGTCGAGAAACTTGGCATGACGTCCGCTGCGTGTAAGGAGAGGGGAATGTGAGATGGGGAAGGTGCAGATCTAGCAGCTGTAAGTGGAGTCGTGGATAAAGCAATTGGCAATGTGCGGGGTGGAGGTTGATCGGTTGGAGCGGTCGAAAGAGGCTTGGTATAGGCCGCCTTCAGACGATCGACTGAAACCATGTCGTTGCGGCCGCCCCAGGCAATCGTAAAATGCTTGTCCGTGCAAGATAGTACCCTATATGGTCCGTCGCAGGGTTGTTGTAGTGGCCGAAGAACACTATCTAGGCGGACAA